GTACACCATTGCATATTTTATTTTCGAAAACTTTAAGCACCTGCCCGTGTAAAGATACTATTTTTTTAATTTTTAAACACTCAAGTTGTGTGTACCCACGCCACTTTGCGAGTGTCCAGTGCGGATGCGAGCTTATATTTTTTCAGACCATCACCCTTTTTCACGATATTAACTCTTCAAGCGCAAAGATATAACATAATGGGTATAATGAAGAATTGTCGAATTATTATGCTCGGTGCTTATGAAATATCCAACTATTTATGTACGTACGTTCGAAAGTTTCAGAAATCATAATATTTTAACTAAATGCACGTCGAGCAAAGGATAACATCGTGTGGGTGAACTCGTTCGGCCTCGTATAATATATTATTATGGGCGAACCGTATGTATAACAAAACAAAATGATGAGGCGTACTTATTTGTAATCGACTAGGTTTACGCGGCTCTTTAGTCTTTAGCTCGGGGTTATCCACACCCGTCGTTCGGTATAATGTGTTGCTTATACGACTTAGTGTATATTATGATAATGATGATGATGATGATGGTGATGATAACGATGACGATAACAATACCCCCATACCTGCACACTATTAAATGTTTCGGAAATTCGACCTTAAAATACATAAAATAGAACTCGATCCGTGTGATGGTCGGTTTTTTTTTTAGGTTGTCATCATATTTTTCCAATGCCATCACGACAGGTCGGTTTCAATGGGTGAGTTAGGTCCGTACACATAATTGTATAAGATACTCTGTAGCCTGTCTGCCGTATTAAGGGCAGACGGGGCAGTAAAAGCAGCGTTTTGGCTAAAAGTTTCAAGTAGCCGTTTCTATCGATTTCAAATCAAGCCGACTTTTCTTGATTTTCCAATTAAATATAGTAGGTAGGTACATATTATGTGAGTAAGCGTTTTAAAATTGAAACGGTTTTTGTGAAAAGGCATTTCTTACAATAAAATACACTGACTTCAAATATAGTTATTAATAATGCTTTAATTAAAATTCTTAGTAATTTTTATGTATGAAACCAACAATGAAAATAAAGGCCAACTAACAACGTTATTTTTTGTTGGAATTTATAATTTCGCCCAAAAATTGATCTCCTAATACCTATGAAAAAAATTGAGCTTACATACTTATTTTTACTAGTTTTTGAACATCAAATGGTTTTATAAAAAAAACTTTGCTTTCGTATCTACACTATTTTCAAGCAGCTATAGTAACATATTTTTAGAAACCTTGTATTACATTTTCAAGCTTTTTGACTCAGTGAAATGTTGTTATCGACATTTATAGAAACAAACAAGTGATGAAAGCTCATTTTGCCAGCATTCTAAATTCCCGGTTTTCAAATATATTATAGTACAAGTACTCAATAAATTGTAATCCCATAATTTTTTAAAATTAAAAAAAAATATATTCATCAATTTCATCTATCAACGATCGTAACTTGACTGTAGTGTGTACTGGTAGTAGGTACTAACAGAAACTTATGTTTAGAAACAAAAACTAAAAAAAAATAATAAACCTGTTAGTTCGACATTTTTTTGGGTGAAAATTAAACGTAGTCTTATACTCTAGTATGACGTTATCTTTAAGGTAAGTAGTTTGTAGTTTTGAACAGTAAACAAATCAATTGTAATTAAGTGCTTTCCTTATTCAATCAGCATTGTTCAAGTCGAGTTTGAGACAGTGGATCCTTTTTTCTCCTTTACTTACTTATTTTCAACAATTTTTTTTATATTTAATATAAATAATAATAATAATATATTTTATAAAAGAGATGCAATAAAGACTGCAATACGGAGCACTGCTTTTACAATTTTAATACACTCAAGTCAAGAAAATGTTTAAATAATTCCAAATGTCTATGGCTTGTGAAAGATTATGGGAAACCCTTCAGCTATTTTTTCAAGTTGTTTTATATTGTTGTGTTAAAACTATTTTTCCGTAATAAAAGATTTTTTTTTTGTAAGTTCATAAATGTCTATGAACTGTAAACAGTACGTTGTACTTATAATATAATAATATGATACACAGTACACACTATACATAAAATACATGTTTATACGTGTAAAACATTTTTAAATTCCACGTTACTATTGTCACGATGACAAAAAACAAATACAGTTTTGTTAATGAATTTTTATAATTCATAAATTTATTTTTAATTCAAACGTTACCCTTTTCATCGAATGCCACTGGCCCCCACACAAACGTCATGCCTGTCATGTCTGGCAGTGTTGATTAGTAATTACACCAAATAAGGTAGTCTATGAACAAATGTAAAATTGTTTTTCGTTACAATTGAATAAAATATTAATGCTTCTCTCTGGCATATTTCAAACTATTGCAACATTCCAACCAGACCGTAACTACAACAGTTATTTAACTAATCAAATAGTGTTTTAAGCTATAAAGTTAATGAAAATTACAATGTCCTAGGTCAGAGGTTAAGGGGTGGAAAATTATTTCGACGCTACTTGCCATTAAATTATGAAAAGAGGTACATAAAAACTGAGGTATATATCATGCTCATGTACGGCTATTTATCGTTCAATAACAATTGTTCAATTTTATCTGTTAATATCAATACATACATTGTGATGTTATTTAATATTGAAATAAAAATAATATTAATTTATTGTCCAAGTATTTTAAATTTTTCACTTGCAGCGGATTTGCCATTTCTGACCTAGGTAGCATGACCAATTTACTTAATATTCCCAGGATTATAATGTCATCTACAAAACACTGCAGTTAAAACAAATAAATTGGATATATCTTACAATTCATGTGTTAAAAAAAATTCACTAACTTAAGGAAATCATATATCTACAAAAAAAAAAAAATAGATACGCAAAGAATGTATTAATACTACGATATCGAGGATTCACTTTTTCCGGATATGTGATATTTTAATATATCAGTATTATAATATTGAATTCATTAGGATAAGAATAAATGCGTTATTATTAGTTGCTCTATTTATCACACATTGTGATTAATAAATAAATTGTAACAATATAATATAGTCCAAAATATAGATACACCTATTTTTTGAAACATAAACTTGTAATAAACTAAAAAACAACGACTGGTGAAATTCTATTCGGTTATCCTTTAAAAACCCATCTATATTATAATTTGTGAAATAAATTCTATTTAGTAGAAGAATATGAGCCAACATAATACATTTTGATACACCATAATATTAGACCTTTAACTCATAATCTCGATACATAAAGTACTTTGAGGAGCTAAGTCCTGAAATGTGTTGTCCGATACTACCTAAACTTCATAACTAAAAACATTTTCGTTCTATATTCAAAACGCGTATAAATATTTTTTGAAAAGTGGTGTTGCATTAAAATATACAACTTAATTTTTTAATTTTAATCAGTAAAAAGGAGGTTTATTATTTGAAAAACAGAAGTTTTTATTATACTGCAGGACACTTCACAAGTAGTACAAAAATGTCCAGAATATGAAAATATGGTGTTTGAGCATATTTAAAAATTCTAAAAATCTAAACTTGAACAAATCCGTTATTAAATGAAAAAATGTTGGTAAGCACACTTGGTGAATCTTTAACTCTGCATAATTATATGAAGTAACTGCAACTAAATATCAGTTAACTCCACATGTGCTAGGTCGAATATTATATAATATATTTTTCAACCTAGAACATAATATTATAATATAGGGTTCAACCTAGCATATTATAAATGGTTGAATATTTTTATAAATATTAAATCGCAATGTCGTGTTATTTCAGAGGTTAGGTTGGGTGCTATATTATAATTCCTCCGATGATGATGTTGGTAAGATCCGCTGATTACATTCTGTGTAGGTATAGGTATATAGTGTACCTGGTTTGTGTTGTGCGTTTAATGGTTTCGACGCATTAGTGTAGACATTTTACTGCTTAAAAAAATAAGCAAGTCATTAGATATAAGGCATTATTATATATCCCTCACATTATTGTTGCGCAAACATTATTTTTCCATCAAGCTTTCGGTAATACGGCCAGATGCAGACATTTGTTAGGATAGGATAATTTATCTGTACAACGGTAATAGCTGTGTACCTACACGCCCTAACTAGTCTACTACTGTACATAATAATATTGCCTATTTGTTGTGTACTTTCGTGTAATTAATTTCAATCTTATTTTCCGCCTAAGCAATTTCATGCACATACGCTTATTGTGCATTCCGCGAAGGGAGCAAAATTCAAATTTGGTTAACGGTTTGTTTTGACTGTATCATACATGTTACGCATATTATAATACAGTATCGATTTAATCGCGAGTTACTTTGTAGCGTAAATTACACAAACAGAAAACTTAATGCGTAAATAAAATGCATAATTTTGATTTAAAGAGCATCAAAGGATCGCTGCTGCAAGGTGTATTCATTACGGAAACACATTTTTTTTTTATCTCATGAGCATTTGTCACTGATCTCGACGGGTTTTCTCTTCGTTTTAAAAACGTATAGTCGTGTATAAATTTGTAATTCGGTACCTACTTCAAGTAGGTAGTAGACCGATTAACAATTTATATTTAATGACCCAATACGAATGCAATAATAATTATGCGTCTGTACTCCATAATGAAGGCACAGTGTATATTAATCGCTTACATTTATCTTTAATATTTTTTTAAGCCCAAATGTCTGGTTGTACAATGTACAATGTTATATATGTTTATTATACCGGTGTATAATATTATTATCGAACAATTCTTGTTTTTACTTCCCATATATTGGGATTTGGGACTATTCACTATATTGTGAGCTCTGGCGCTCGCCAATTATGATTAAAAATGCATATATTATGCTTCTAAAAATCAATGAATAATACAGAATAACTTTCTATTTTAATCAGCAGTAATTATTCATGTAGTTGGGTTGGTAGCTATAATATTAGTACCTATGACTAACATTTGTTTTTAGCAACAAACTAAATTAAAAATTTTTAAATATTTTAATTTTTAGATTTAACAAATGATGTGTTGAACCAAAGAACAGACGTTCGATTGAACGAACGTCATACTAGATACTAATTTTATAACATTGTGAATGTGTTTTTTTTTAGAATAACATAATATTAGGTAAATCCATTCTCTACATATCTATATTATATAGCTTTAATCTTACGGAGTAAAAACTTTCGATTATATTATTAGAAAATGAAAATAAAACATATGGTACTTATCAAAGGGGTAATTATTAGAACAATATATAAATTGACTTTTACTTATAAGACAAATTAATCCAGTAGTAAATATGTATGGTTTTAAAAACATTTTTGAAAATGTTTAGTTTAAAACAGATTTATTTCTTTTTCGTTTTTATCATACAAGTTTTTAAGACCTAAACGAGAACATAATACTATCTATAATTTATACATAACTACTTAATTTGTAATGTGTATTTAGTTATAATGATTTATGACGAAATAATTCTTAGTAAATTGTTATAATCATTATTAAAAGTTAGGTACCTAACTACAGTTATAAATCAATCTAAATTGTAATACTAGTGAATTATTTCAATGACCACATTAAAAAAAAAAAAAAATACAATACAGTAAACTGATAACTCAATATTATCGTTTAAAAAAAAAATGTGTATAACACCTAAGACGATTGTGGTCAATTTATTTCAAATTTGAAACATTTACACCACTACAAGTGTTGGTAAGAGTGAGCGAAACAAGGTGGAGAATTCAGCTACATCTGCCGTATCTGCAGTAACTAACACTTCCTTATTTTTTACTTTTTAATTTTTTTTTTTTTTAATATTAATTATTACGCTTTGCAATAATTGTTTATTTAATTATGTTCAACGAAAATGTATACATAACCACAAGTTGTAATCTCAAGAGGGAGTATACTTTATATTTAAGAGTTTTTTGAATCTTATAACCAGAATAATTTGCATATCTTCGAAAACAGACGCAATTGTGTTTGTTCGAGTTAGCGCATCATTCCACAAGTCTCTGTAAAACTTGACGTGTGTGATTATTAATTATTGCAAGACAAGGACGAACGTGCTCGTAATACTTTCGGGACTGTCGTGGTTTTAAACGAAAGTAATGATGGTTGAAGTTTAATCGTGATCTAGATAACCCGATGATTTGTCGACCTGTGACGTTAGACCAAATTTAGCAAATGAACATTAGTATAACAATACATTTTAAAATAAAACAGCTAAAAGCACTTTGTGCCGCTGACAATAAATTATCTGGTCCTATACTATTGTTTATATACTCACGGCGATATGGTTATGGTGACAATACTAAAAGTTCGGTTACCTCCGTCATCGATCACCAGAAACCGCTGAGCTCCGAGGCAGTAGATCTTAGATTTTCCAAACCACCATTAAATCTTCTTTGATGTTCAGAAAGTTCCTTATTGTAAGGTAAAACCCTTTTAAACGTACATTTTAAACGAACCTTATCATTTATTTCTTACTCTTTAAATTATTTTAAAAATGTTGAGTTATTTATATTTAACATGTCAGGTGACTTAGTATTGTCCCACCAGAAAATAAATATAAAAAATATGGCTGCCTAACCGCCCAAGATACCCAAGGTATAATTTAGTTACGTTTTTAAAACATTACTTCATAATAAATCCAATTTTGAGTAATGTTATAAGTACACAATTCAAAATTTAATTTAGCCAACATTCATATATCTACTGTATCTTCTGGAATTTCTGAAGCCCAGATAATATTTGAAAATAAGTTTTTATATGCATACATATTTTTTAATACTATCTACCTAAACCCTATTTAATCTAAAATATGTTACTTTATACATCATATTATAACAACATCAATAACACAATAGTGGCAGACTGCACACAAATAAAAACAAAATTCAGAAAACATTTTTAATATTATGTAACATTATAAAAATACGTTTTTAAATAACTATGCGTGAACAGAATAATGACAAAACATATTAAAATCAAATTGTTGTTTTTTCCATATAGAACATTTTTTATAATTCTATAAAATATTAACTTTGTACGAGTAAGTATGTCGCTTTCGTAACTTTTAATGGCTAATACTCTTGTAAGTTACCTTTCTTTTACTGCATACCTGGGTATTTATGGTTAGGATAGGTTCAATCGTTCAAAATAGCAAACATACATTATAACAAAAACTTAAATTATTTTTATATTGGCACATTGCAATGTGTGTTTCATTAGTTTCATCAGTTTGCATTATTATTTCCTACTTATAGACATCTACATTACAATTGCAGTTACTATTTTTGTTTATTTGTATTGTTCATATGTATTATAAAGTATATTGTGCGCTCATTATATATATTATTGTTTTATTTTTTATATTTTTTGGGCCAATAACGGATTGGATATGGTTTTATAAAGAAAAAGTTAAATAATAATTGTAAGTCGTTTTTAGTATACAACTATTACAAAATAGCATTGTTACTTACTATTATACGAACATCAATACAAATATATGTGTGACAACTGTTTCCATAAAAATACGTGATAATTGTGCTAAATATAGTCTCGGTTTTAATCTGTAGAAAGCCTAACACTTACAAACTTCAAACTTGTAATGTCTTTTTTTCCGGCACATAAAAGTTTCAATAAAATTAAAATAATATTATATAGATGTAAATATTTTAAGATATACATACTTATTATAGATACAGATATGTATTTATGATAGTATAGTTTATAAACAGCTTTTTAATTTTCAACAAATATTGTAGAATATAATGATAGTCGATAATGTTTATTATTTCATAATAAATTAAATTATACATATTTTACACTAATTGTATAAATGTCTGTAATCGTATTAAACATTAATGCGATAATTAACTTTCAATGAAGAAAACCTATTAAGCTAAACAATGTTTTTTTTCGCGGCTGACTACACAAATGTGTTCAATGGATAAATCTATTGAGAAACAAAGTTGATTGCTGTGAAACCCCAATTAATTTACACACGTATATCGCCTATGTAGTTTAAAAATCTGTCAGAACAGATAACGGAATATAAAAACGTTAATCAATAATCAAAGAACCATTTAAAGTTTCTAAATAAAGATATAAGAAAACATAAGTTAGGAGAGAAGTTGTTGCTTGTTATATAATGGTTTTGTAAACTTACTAATATGTGTTAAGGTATGGCAAAACTGAAAATATGTTTCATACAATTAAATTATTAAGTTTGGTTTTTATTACGTTTTCTTAATTTTTTTCTCATAACATTTATTGCGTAATTTATTATAATAAAACTGTACATTAAGTCTCTAATAAGAAATTTAACTATTGAGATTTTATACATAAGCATTATAAACCATCAATATATAATAGTTTATTTTTACAACAAAAATGAAAAAGTTTTCATACTTTCAGCAGTTCATTAAAAAAGTTGCTTCAATCAAAACCTATAATCTAATAAACTTATTTACACAAGGATAAAAAACGAAAATAATTGTTATAAAGATAAACCATTACTTACTTGGTTAATAATTTAAATCACTTTTATATAGCTGAATGTTAAACTATAAGTTCAATAATCAGACGCGTACTATATTTATTCATATGAGTGATCCTACCTTATATTTATAAAGAGCAAATACTGTGGAATAATACATTTTTATTGTGTAGCCAAATATAAAAACGATTGTACGTGAAAAGATTTTTTTTTGCATTTATTGAAATCTTAAATAAAATTGTTTTTCTTATTTTCTTACAGGTACCTACTGCTGTGTATGTCGGAAAATGTTGGTGGTATAGCGTTATATACAAAATTGTTATTACACAACTCAATAAATCCTTTTTATTATCAAGAACTTAAAATGAAAAGTATATTTTTTTAATTTACTGAATAAGTTAAATCTAATTTCATGACCTAGTTATGGCAACTTTATATACATAGGTATTAATATCATTATTAAGGTTTTTTTCCAATAATAAATTATGATGAATAATATTCATATAACTCATCATTCCCAAATCCCAACTGTAATCACATAAAAGTTATATGTGCCCATTGGTAAGCATAATATTATGATATTATTAATGGGAAGCATATTGATTTCGAAATTAATTTCATACAACCACCTTATCTTTGGTGAGGTATGTTAAGGTATCTTAGTTATGTTAAGTACCTATTCTAAAATGTATGTCATTTTTCGTTTATCTATAATACATAACTGGCTATATTCGTTCTATAAATCAGTATCATTAAGTGTATTTAATATACTTAAATTGCTAATATCTTAATTTTGATTTGAAAAATATTAGTTAACAAAACTTTATGAGTATACATTTATACATATGTTTATTTGGCCTCCCAAAGTTTTGGTTTTTTAAGTATAAACCTAAAATGCGTGATCAGTGATCACTGTTTATCACATAGAAACAATATGAACGTTAACGTTTGTGTCCTATCACCCACATTCCTCTAAAGTGTGTTGCCTATATAGATTACTAATCACGTTTTAGTAGTACTACAGATCGGTAATTACATACCTGCCTATTACTAATTACGCACAAGACACAACATGTTTGTAGGTCGTCGAGGCTTATCGATGGTTACCTACATAATACGTACAACAGTATAATCTATAAACTTTTTTAGACAAAATTATTAAATCTTCGAGATAAAAAAATACAACAATTGGTTACAAAAAGGAAAATATTTTTTTTTTGTAAATCGTTGAACATTTTTTGAATTGTTTTCAGTAATAACAGCCATCAATATCACTGACGCAAATGAAGGTCACTCTCTGCGCCCTTGTATAAATATGCTCCTAATGGGGCTGGGTGGGACTTCAGTGCAGTATTGACGTTGTTAATTGTTATAGTAAGTATAATCCGCAAAACGAAAATATAACTTTGCAATTTTAAACTACTAGACGTTAATATTAAACTTATAACATAATACGTAAATAGGTATTCAAACAGGTATTTATGTACCTACATAGTATATATACTATGGATTGATATGATTGTACTATGGACATTGGTTATTAATTTTGTTGACACCTAAATACGGGTTTGCA